TACTACTACTACTACTACTACTACTACTACTACTACTACTACTACTACTACTACTACTACTACTACTACTACTACTAGTATTACTAGTACCATTACGTGGGCGAGCCCCCCCCCCCAGGGGGCGACGCGCGCACCGAGTTAATCTCGTAGTATATGCGTGGTGGCGGGCGCTTTCTTGCCACACCGCTCGGGAAACGATCTACTGCAAGATGGGGATCATATATGTTCGGATCGGACGCGCGTCTCCAAGGAGGACATATGAGGCGTTCCAAAACGGGCCTTTCCTCCGAGGATCGAAGGAGTTGTCATCTCTTCCTCGGCGGAAGGTGGCGGAAGGGCGGCGGCAGGTCGGCAGAAGTAAGACGAGGCCGCCTCCGCTGGCGGAAGCCGGCGGAAGGGCGGCGGAAGCCTCGACGGCTCGAAGGATTCTTTGCACGCTCAGGGCGTGCTGGGTCGCAACTCCCAGCCCGACCGACTCACTCGACACCTCCCCTCCGCGCGTGCGCGGCCCATGCGGAGCGGCGCCCAGGAGCGGGAACACCAACGACCTCTACGTCGGTGAGGTGAGCGCTGGACCCTGGCACGCGGGTCCTGGACCTGGAGATCAGCTTCACCATGCCGAATACGGCCTCCAGGGAGCAAGTGCACTGGGGAGGCAAACGGGCTCTTCGACGAGCCGCTCGTGCTCTATACCTGCTCGGAGTGGTGTGGTATCGTGGCAAGAAGTACACCAGGGCCACCGCCGCAGCTCTCCTCTCAGATCACCGACGCCAGGGGGCCCAGGGTGATGCTGAACATCTTTCTTCCACTTTCTCCTCGGGGGCACCACCTGCGCGTCCTCCTGCTGACCTCCCTGACTCGGCCACCAGCGCCGCCAGGTACCATGCGCGTTTCACCCGACGAGCTCATCGCCACAAGCAGCTGATGACCTTCTGGAGCTACAACTGCGAGAGCCTACTTCGAGCTGACCGCCTCGGAGAACTACTTCGTTTAGCGACCAAGGCCAATGTGTCGGTGGTGTGCCTCCAAAGCACTTTGCTTGAGCTGGGGCTGCCGTGGACGACGGAGGGCTACAGAGTTATCCCGACGCCACGCACCACCCGTACGAGCCGTGACGGATGCCTGATAGCATTCAGCCTGCGACACTTTCTGCCCTCCGAGCTGCGTGTTTCCCACAGTTGGCTGGACGGCAGACTCCAAGGGATCCGACTACGAAGAGCGGGCCCCAGAGAACGAGACGTCTACATCCTGAACGGCTACGCCCCCCTGAATGAGGTTAGCCACGCCGTGACGGGTACCGATCACCATGAGAAAGTTGCAGCCCATCGAGAGTTTCAGAATAAATATTGGAATCAATGCCGAGCCGCCCTGCAGCAAATCCCCCGCCGCACTGCCCTGGTTGTCACCATGGACGCCAACGCCGCCATGTCGCCGAACCCCCCCCACGTTGGTTTCGCGGGCCAGCGCCGCATGTACGCCGCCACCAACTACAACGGTATGCGCCTGCTGGACCTCCTGCAGACGTTCCACATGACCGCCCTCAACACGTTCGGCAGGATGAACCGCCAGAACGGGACATGGAAGCACACCACAGGCCCTGGATGGACCACCATCGATTACATCTGCACCAGGCTCCACGGTTCCTATGGCAAGCGGGCGGCCCCGCTGAAGAAGTTACCTGTCAGCCTCAGTGGTTACCGCGACCATCGCCCAGTTCAGGCTCAGATCTACGTCGGCCTTCGAGCACGCCGCCGACCTGAAGAGAAGCCCGCCCGCTGGGACCGAGACGCCCTAGTACAAGACCTCAACCTTCTCCGTGACCCCGATGCCGAACTCCCCCAACGCCTAGTGGATATGCGATCGAAATTTGTGACACTCCTTGACCAACGGCTGCTGTCTGGACAGTGGCCTGATGAATGCGGAGACGAACGCAGATACGCCACCCCGTCAGACTACTTCAACGCCTTGGAGCACACGTTGATCGAGGTAGCGGCCCCATACTACATTCTACAGCCCCAGAAGTTGACCCGCCCCAAGCTGAAGGACTCCACCCTGGCCTTGATCGACCGCAAGCATCGCATCCAGCGCAGAATGGCCAGCATGACCAATCAGGAGTCCGACAGCTACGCTGCCATGCAGGCCGAGTTCGACACAGCATATCGTGAAGCCGCCAGAGCAGTTCGAGCCGAACGCCGCCAACGACTGGCCGACGCAGCCACGGAAGCGGAGATGGCCGACGCGAACCAGAACCTGCGGAAGCTCCACAGCGTCATCCGCCGCCTCGCCCCGAAGCCTGCCGCACCCACGGCCACGGTCAACAACCCCGAGTCTGGAGGCCTCTGCATGGACGACGCTGAAGAAGCCGACGTTCGAGTACGGGCCCTGTGCAGCATCTTCGAGGGCTCGATGATAGACATGGCCACACCTGGCGGCCCCCCTGGACTTCTTCCACGCGACGATACCAGAATCGGCTCATACACACCAGATGATGTCAGGAAGGCCATCCTCAAGATGCCCAACTTCAAGAGTGCGCCTGTCCTCAAGCTGATAGACACGGAGACCGACCTCCCCGACCAGGACACGCATGACGGGTCCATCATCGAACTTTGGAAGCTGCTGGCGACCGAAGCCACGCCGGCGCTCCATGGAGTTTTCAACGCATGCCAGGCCCTTGGACACTCTGTCCAGCGCTTTAAAGACGGAGAAACGGTTTCACTACGGAAACCCAAGGGAGATGGCAAGAACGCGAAAGACCATTACCGCACCATCAATTTGATCAACCACATCGGGAAGGTGTTCATGAACGTCACAGTCATGCCGTCACTGCGCGGTTTGGCCTCAAGATTCTCCAGCTCGCAGTTCGGTGCCCTGGCAGGCCGCTCTACTCGTGATGCCCTGGCGGTCGTAGCCGAAGTGGTCCGACGATACAGACTTCATGGCCGCACCTCCCGCCTCGGCAAGACAGCGATCCCAGGCGTGCTCCTCGCGGTGCTCATTGACCTCGAGAAGGCGTTTGACCTGGTCGACCGCGATGAGATCTGGAATGCCCTAGAGCGCCTCTCCCTCAGGCGCAACGTGAGATGGTCGGTCGAGGAGCTCCATGAAGGCACATGCTACATCGCCAGAGATATTCGGACCAACCGCCCCATCAAGAAGCTGCTCATCTCCCGTGGCGTCCGCCAGGGGAGCGTGGAGGGACCCCTATTGTTCATCGCCGTCTACGACCTGCTCACCGCCAACTTAGAGCAGAGCCACGCCATGTCAGAATTCACCGTGGTCTCTGTAGTGTTCGACCCGACGTTGGAAAAAACTCGTCACCTCCACCTCCCCCCAGGAAATGATGGGGAAGAATGCTTACCAGTATCGCCCATAAAGTTCGTTGATGACTTGATCGCGTTCACCATTGTCGAGGATTTCGAAACGATCTCGAGGTTCCTGTCATTTCTGAAGAATGAAATCACGAAGGGGAAGATGAAAGTTAACGACTCGAAAACAGAAATGCTCATTGTCACCACGGGAAGACGAAGTAAGGCTCGGAAAACCACGATTCGAACTAAACAAACCAACGTGACCATGGATGGGACTTTGATCAACGCCACCCCGAGCGTGAAGTACCTAGGAGCTAAGCAACGTGATGATAGTTCGATGGTTGAGGAAATTACGCACAGGATCCAGGGAGGAAATGCTGCCCACGCTCGCCTAGCTCGTCGTGCTTTCAAGTGCCAATTCAGTGTCCGACTTAGAGTTCGGTTGTGGTGCTCTCTGGTACGCTCGTCTGCTCTGTACGGCCTCGAAGTCGCAGTCCTTACCAAGCGTGACCTCACTCGTCTAGAAAATTGGCAAACACGGAAGTTGAGGTTCCTTGCTCGTTCTCCTGCACACGTACATCATGTGAGCAATTCTGAGATCCGTCAGCGCACCAGGGTGTACACAGTGGCCTCTACACTGCTGGAGAGACGGCTTGCGTGGTGGCAAGGAGTTCTCCGCCCCGCCTTCCCCGACCTCGCGCAGAAACAGCAGGACCCCCAGGAGAACGGCGCCCAGGAGAACCCAGACGAGGCCCCCGAGGAGCTCTTGGCCCAGGAGAACCCAGACGAGGCCCCCGAGGACCCGAAGTATGACCCCACGAAGATAGTCCGTGCGGTGGTTTTTGGTCGATTCAACTTCGAGGGCCCCAAGCATAAGGAGATTAATTCGCTCTTGGGAGTTCTTCTGGACGACCTCAGACACCTCTGGAGGACCTTCACCCCCGAGGCCCAGCAGCAAGCCAGGGACACCCACGGCCTGAATGAGGAGCTCCCGAACCCGTCTCGCCCGTGGCTTCGCTGGTTGTGTTGCGCCCCCAGGGCCCGACTCAAAGGAGTGCGAAGCACAACTACTGATGACGAAGAGAAGATAGCCGCGGGAATCGCCCCTCCACCTGATGCCCCGCTACCTTGCCCGATATGTTCCAGGATGTGCCAGGGCCCCAAGGGCCTCGACAACCACATGTTTTCGGTCCACAAGAAGTACGCCAACCCCACGGACTTAACAGATGACCAGCTCAGGTCCCTGAAGTGCCCTCGGTGCGCCACTAAGTTCAGCAGAAAGGACACCCTCGTTCGCCACATTCGTATGGGACGGTGCCGAGCTACCCCGTCGCTGTTGGCCCAAGCCTCTGCGAGTCGGGCACCTGAGCCACCCGCCCCTGGACCTCCCGAGCCTACACCACCCGACGATGTTCGTGCCGATCGCGGAGGTCCAGGGAGGCGTCAAGAGGCAGGAGCCCGAGGCTCAGGACAGCACCACAGCGTCCAGCGAGTCGACGCCGAACGGCAAGCTCACGAACCTGATGCGCCGCCTCCTCCTCCAACACGAAGCAGCCCACCAGGCCGACGCGAGGGACGACAACTTCACACTCACCCTCAAAGTCGGCACCAAGATCGAGATGGCACTGGAAAACGGCCTGCAGAACTACATAGCGACTGGCAAATCCGCCCGCGAGGGCGACAACTTCAAGGGCCACCCGCTCGGAAAAAAGCCAGACGCACTCTTGAGGTCGGTGATCTTCCGCATGGCCGAAGCCTACGAGAACAGCTCCCAGCCCGTGCAGGAAGCCGTGAAGAATGGGACCAACCCCGAGAAGGCCCTCGGCGCGCTGGAGGTGCTCCAGCGCCGGGGTTCGATCGCCAAGGACACGGAGATCATGGCGCGCGCGACGCGGTGCTTCAAGGTGAAGCTGGCCGAGGGCGACGTGGAGCAGGTGCGCTGGATCTGGGCCGTCAATTACCATCCCGAGCTCAAGCTCGCGCTGTCCACCCTCAGGGACAACGGCGGGCTCAAGGCGGCAGGAATCCTCCTAGGCCACGACTACGGTCAGAGGTCCAAGGTTGCAAAGCAGATAGAGGAGCTCGCCTTCCGAAAAAAACGACATGCAGAAGTCGAAGGGCGCCAAAAAGCCCAAGAAGAAGTAGACACTCCCTCGGCCAGTTCTAAGAGTAGAACTCTTCCAGACCTGTTCAAACGCCAGAGACTCAGCAGTTTAGTTCAGTGATGATGGGACTATCTAATCTTTATCGTATCCCATGCTCGTCGGCCTCTTTGCCTTCTCAGACGACTGGTCGCAGTCGATCAGCGCGGGGTGTGGGATGACCAACATGCTGTGCAACAGGTTCCAAGGGTGGAGCGTGTTCGTGCCTGGGAAGTTGCTCGTCCTTTAGGCCCCGTGCGCCTGCCTCCCTCTTTCTCGGTTCAGTATCTTGAGTGCTCCTGAGTTTGCGAGTTTTGATGGGGAGCGGCCCCCCGACCCCAGAGGGGGTTCGGGTGCCGCTCTCACAGTGCCGCCTCCGCAGAGGCGGGGGCGCGTGGGAGTGGGGCGGAGACCCATCCGCTCGTGTTGCGCGCGCACCCGTCGTGGGCCCATCGTTCGTGATATAGGATCTCGAATGCGCCGATATCGGTAGTTTTTCATCTAGGCCCCTCACGAAGCGTCCTTTCCTGAAGGCTCCTGGGCGCAGTGGTTTTAAAAAAAGGAAGGGCGGCGGAGGGTGGCGGAAGCAAAAGATGCGCACCCAAGAGGTGACAACGTTGTTGGGTTCAGGGTTTTTTCGGCATCCGCCATACGGTGGGGGCGTTGGTTAAGGAAAGGTCCCAGGCGGCGCCAGACCCTGGAGGATGCCTTATCCAGTGAGGGCGGCGGTAATCTCCATGGCCGGTCCACGATTGGAGTTCCACTGGCTTCCAGACCCTGGATTCCTTATCTAAGGGTTCCTCATCCTATGCCCACACTGTATCGTACTCGTGTGTCTCTGTGCGTCTCAGGACGAGAGCAGGTCGTGCCAGCGGCCTCGTGAGGTTTCCGGGTGCCTTCCGGGGCAACGCCAGGAGGGTGCGATGGGCTCTCAGGTTGGGAACGCCTCGACCGCCAGTTCTCGCCCACCGATCGCCGCTGTGGGGCCCGACTGCCCCCCCCGCCAAGGAACGTGCGCAGAACGCATCGACCGCCAGTCGCCCAGTCATCGCCGATAGGGAATGTCCTCCTACAGGCGGGTCTTGGACGACAAAGGATCAACAATCATACAACAAGGAACAAACATACTCAGAACATCGTCCCCAGACAATTCCTCCTGTAGAGGGACAGGCCCGACTCAACGATAGAAACGTACGCATTCGCCATCGGGGGCTCGCCGCCGAGCTGCCAGCGAGGCACCGCCGATGCCAGCTCGATGCCTCCTCCCCCCCCGGCCGTGGCTCTCCATCTTCCACACCCTGCGCTCGCCGGGTGGCTTCTCTGAGCGATCTTCCCAGGGGGCAGGACACGGCAGGGAGGAGGGAGGAGGGAGGAGGGAGGAGGGGGAGGAGGGAGGAGGAGGAGAGGAGGAGGGAGGAGGAGGAGGAGGAGGAGGAGGAGGAGGAGGAGGAGCTCCGCGCCGACTGCCCGAATCGGCGCTGGAGCGCGCCAGGGGCTGCGCCGGAGGCGCCGCACCACGGGGGTCCAGCGCCGACCCGAGAAATCGGGGCGGAGCTCCGAGTGTTTGCGTTTGTGCCGCGCTGTGTCCCTCACGAGGATCACCAGGAAGCAGCCGCCTGCTGGTCCGAGGATGTGGAAAGCAGCTCCAGGCCAGCCACAACTGGGGGAGCTGTGGTCCTTACCCCCCTGGGGGGCCCATCGATTTCGACGCCCCTCTCGAGAGATCGTCGAGGCGATGGGTTCCCCCAGGGGGGTAAGGACCACAGCTCCCCCAGTTATGGCTGGTCGGAGTTCGAGAGTCAGGGTCGAGGGGGGGGGAGGCCTCGAGCTGGAAGCGGCGGTGCATCGCCGACAGATCGGCGGCGGGCCCTCGATGGCGAGACGCGCATCCGCACGCTCCTGGGCGGGATGGGCAATCGGGCCCCTAGCGTTAAGTCGGGCCTGTCCCACTAATGGAGGATGACGATTAATAAATGACCGGGGGTCGTGTTCACGCGGCGGCGCCCGGGGTGACGATTAGAAAAACCTGGCCGCGAGCTGGAAAACTACTTTTTAATCGTTCTCCTCCAGTCCGAATTATGCAGAAACAGCAGAAATCTGTTTTTAATCGTTCTCTACCATTTTTTATCAAGCGTCATCCCGCATTAAGGATGGGCAGCCTTCCGAAGGGTACCCTTGCATCCCTGCCTCCTCGGTCCATCCTTGGCCACTTCCGCTGGCCGCGCCCCGCTCGGAAAACTTCGACATGGGTTCCCAAGGCCCTTGCATCCTTATCGCGCATCCTTACTATGCAGGTTGACTGCACTGTTTCTTATTTGTTGATCCTTTCTTTCGTCCAAACTCCGCATTTAGGAGGACATGCCCAATCTAACCCCATCGGCGATGAATGGGCGATTGGTCGGTGATGCGTTCCCACCAAGAACCGGTCCCCTCTCGCTCCTGCCCGTGCCCGCTCTGGTGCCCACCACAGGCGATGGTCCTCGTCTCCGGGCCGCGGTGGACGGCGGCGCGCTGGGGGGCCTTGTCCGCACAGTACCTGGGCCAGCTGCTGCTGTTCGTCGCGGACGTCCTGAGCTTCCACGTTGGCATAGGGCCGCGCTGCGCACTTCTAGGAGGAGGGGGAGGAGTTCGGTGGCGAAAGTCAGCGGAGCCCTGTACACCGTCTCAGTTCCGTCTCTAGAGCGCACCAGCGTCGATGCGCGTCTGGTAATCGATGCGACAGCGCCGATGTAGCGTTGACAAGCGTCGATTTGCGTCGACTTAACTGGGACTAGCGTCGATTAGCGTTGATCAGCGTCGATTCGCAAGGGCCAGCAAGATGGCATGGGAGGCTCCCGTGACTTGCCACCGAAGATGAGGACAGAATGCCATCTTTTCATCCCCTGGCGATAGCGGGCATTACTTGGGGAGAAGGAGGCGAGGGGGCCGGTGTCGTCACGACTCGTGCCGTCTCCGTGTGGGAACGCCCATGGATGCTTATGGGAGTCCCGAGCATTACCAGACGGCGTCTCTTCATCCCCTCGCGATAGCGTGCATTACTGGGGGGAGGCGAGGGTGGCGTGGCTGGTAATGGGCGCTATCGCGAGTAAAAATGCTGGCACAAAGGAAGGAGTAGGAGAAGGAGGAGGATGAGGAGGTGGAGGTGGGGGAGGAGGAGGAGGAGGAGTAGGAGGAGGAGGAGGAGGAGGAGGAGGAGAGGGGATAGGAGGAGGAGGAGGAGGGAGGAGGAGGAGCAGGAGCAGTGAGAGGGATAGGAGGAGGAGGAGGAGCAGGAGGGGGAGGAGGGGGGGGGGGGAGGAGGAGGAGGAGGAAGAGGAGGAGGAGGAGGAGGAGGAGGAGGTGAGGGTGGGTCTTGGAGCCCCGAGCGTTCCCAGATGGCGGCGCTGGCGCGAGGCGTGACGTACCAGGGGGGGAGGGGGGAGGAAGGGCGCGGCTGGTAATGGGCGCTATCGCGAATAAGAAGATTGGCGCTAAGGAGGAGGATGAGGAGGAGGATGAGGAGGAGGAGGAGAATGCTGGTAATGGGCGCTATCGCGAATAAGAAGATTGGTACGGAGGAGGAGGAGGATGAGGAGGAGGAGGAGGAGGAGGAGGAGGAGGAGGAGGAGGATGAGGACTACGAGGAGGAAAACGACGAGGAGAAGGAGGAGGAGGAGGAGGAGGAGGAGGAGGAGGAGGAGGAGGAGGAGGAGGAGGAGGAGGACTACGAGGAGGAAAACGAGGAGGAAAAGGAGGGAGCAGGAGGCGCAGGGTGTCACGGTGCACAGGAGGAGTCCAAGCGTTTGACTTCGAGCGAAAGGGTGCGGACCGACCCAACCCGAGCTCGTTTTGCGGGCGTTGGCCGAACTGTTACACAGTTGCTTTTCTGCGATGCGCTCGCCCTCGTCCTCTGCTGTTCGGAAATGTGCCTGCTTATGCCTCGCCAGGGATGCTCGGCCCGCTGTCGGACGCGCCCCCGTCGGAGCGGCATCTGCCGGTCTGGGCCTCGAGGCCTTTCTGTGGCGCGCCCGCGCAGGGGCCTTTGATGGGACTTCGGGGGAGCCCCGGCGAGGTTGTTGTCGTCGTTGTTGCTGTTGTCGTTGCTTCCTGTTTGCTGACGGGGCGCGCGGCAGGAACGGCTCCGTCTGCGGCGGCATTTCGGTCGAGCCTGAGCTGTGCAGGGACGCCGGGGGCGATGGGGCGTCCAAGGCCCCGGCGCTGGATTCGCGCCCCGTCGACGCGCCTTAAACGTTGCTGCTATTTTTGGACTTCTCGGCGCGCGATGGCGAGAGTTCTGCGTCTCCGTCCGAGCCTCGGCCCCGACCTGCTCCGGGCCCGGCTTTCGCCGCAGTCCTTCTGGCCCCGCCGCTCCGAAGTGACGCGCCCTTCATGGGGCCGGGCTGACTTTAGGGGAACAAGAAGTGGCATAAACATAAAAACTCGGAGGTCCGCGCGGATTTCTCGGATCGGCGCTGGGGCCCCCCAGCGGCGCCTCTGGCGCCGCCCCTGGCGCGCTCCGCGCGCCAGGGAGGGGGGTCCAGCGCCGATCCGAGAAATCCGCGCGGACCTCCGAGTTTTTATGTTCGTGCCACTTTTTGTTTCCCTAGACTTGGGCGGGTCGGTCGAGAAGCAGTCGGCGGTCGCGTGCGCTCAGCAGGTCGGCCCCCCAGTCTCCCGCCTCCGGCGCGCCCTCGGCCTCTGGCGGCGACGCGCGCGCGGGCGGCCAGCTGGGGGCGGCCCGCCGCCACGACCCCGGCGTGGCGGGCTGGCCAGGGGCCGCGGCTCTTCTGGGGGCGGCCTCGCTGCGAAGCGACGCCATGGGAGGCGGCGCGGGGGGCTCGGGCACGCGGCGGCGCATTCGGCCCGACTCCACCTCGAGCGCGTCCGACGCGAAGGCCGCGCGGGCCGAGCGCGTCCGTCGCGGGGGGCGGCGCGGCAAAGCAGCCCCGCTTGGAGAAGTGGTGGCTGGAGGCGATGGCGCGGGACAAGCAGCTCGGAGGGCTCAGAGTATTGGGGACAGCGGGCCGCGCGCAGCCGCGCCGAGGGGCCCTCGCGAGAGAGCTGAGGGGCTTCGACGGGGGCGCCGAGGTCGAGAAGGCGCAGGACATCGAGGCCCGCATGCTCGACGCGCCCGACGAGTCCGTCGAGAGCTGCATGCTGGGCTGCGCTTTTCGGAGGTCCCTGCGCCCTTTGCTCGGGGCGCTGGAGGCAACTCCTGCCCTACGGGTTCGCCTATCGCGAGCTCGCCCGCGCCTTCAAGTCGGTGATGGC